AATATGAAAAGGCAAGAACTTCCTACCAAACCGAGTCATACAGTGCTTGCCACGTGGAATGAGAAAGTTCCACGATTGGTACTTGCGTGCTCAGATAACAGAACTAGAAATCTTACAATCATGGATCCCTGCCGGCACATTTGGAGCCCTAGGTGGGCAAATTGTTGTTGAGTTTAGGGATATCCAGGCATGCTTCCACCTCGGACAAATGGAAATGAATTTAATTCGCATATGGTGCCTGTAAGTCCTTGCCCCTCGATATGATACGAATGTAATCTTTTAATTTTGTTGTAACTAACCCGCGCCGTGATTTGTAGAATGCAAGCGGACTTTGTGAAAAAGAGGCCAGCTCTGAAACACGGGTATATAGACCCTTCACCTATAGCATCAACAAGTTTTAATTACCCTAAAGATTGGAAGCTAGATTGCAAAGAACTAGGAGCTGGAAAGACACTTAAGGAGAAAGAGGACATCAGGAACAAGAAAATATTGGAAGAGTCCCTCAAGGTTGCGGCATACATTGCCCTATGTTTTAAAAATCTCTAACAACACGATAATATATGGATACCATACCACTTCAAGTAAGTTCGACTGTATACTTAGCTTTGTTCAATATACTTTGTTCGATGCAAAAGAGCTTATGTGTTCCTTCTATGACTAAATTCATGCAGCGATCACTGGATTTGCATAGGCGTCTGGCTCTCACATAGCATGGCATGGGTCTTTGATTCAGCGGATTTCCCAGTCCAGACATACAAAGACTTCATAGCGATTGTCAAGACGTATACATATTGACAATCCTTATTTTAGCTACTATGTTTGTATACATACTTGTAAGGTTCAATGTGGGATACTAACAAGTTGTATTTGCTAAAACCATTGGAACAGGGCATTCAGGCACTATGTCCAGGAACATAAGGGGAGGCATCATCCAAATAGGAAGGAAAAGTTGTATGTCAAAACTCTATGTGCGGTAAGTGTCATTTACTTTGGTACTCCATATATTACGTGTCTGTCAATAGCATTACTTAACATCTCCATATGCAAAACACATAGTGCCCTAAGCAGAAGCCTGGGAGTCTACATTGTGGATACTACACATGTATTATGATGAGTAGCATCGGTGGCTACAACAGAAACCCCAATCTGGTAAGTTTGAACCTCTTCGCTCGTAGTATGAAAAGTTCGCATATGTTGTGATATAGTAAACCTGAACTTGTTCTCTTGTAGTTGGAGAAAGATAAAGGGCTCGTTCGTTGGTCTGGAGGAGACCAGCCAGCCGGCTAGTTCCCCTCACGCGACATTGTTCATCCATCCAGCCAAACAGTATTTTTCTCTCACAACAAACCAGCCGAAACAGTGTTTTTCAGCCAAGTTTCAGACCAGCGAACGGGGCCAAAGACACGAGAAGGAACCCATACAAGGATGACGAGCTCTTAGAGATGGTCGACGACCTTTGCAACTTTATAATGGACCAGATTGTGTACTATAAAGGCACTTACCATCATCTTCTTTTCGACTTAGGTAGTAATCATCTATACCAACACCTTCGGAAGATTGATAGGCTAGCCCTAGGTCGTTGATGACAATGTGGACTTGTGGTATGGTTTGGATCAGACTTTGGAACGGTTTGGACTTTGTTTTGCATGATGGACTTTTGTGAATTATGACTTGTGATGATGTTCTAAATAATGGTCTTATGTTTGTGGATGTATATATGTATATTTGTGGCGGTCAGATTCAAATTTGAATTGTATATATATATGGTCAGATTTGAATTTGAATTTTTTTTGCTGAAAAATCCACTGTAGGGGCGGTTCTTGATTGAACCGCCCTTACAAATACACACAGCAGGGGGCGGCTGGTGATACAGCCGCCCTTACAGAAGTCCACTACAGGGGCGGCTGATATTACCAGCCGCCCCTACAGAGGGCACTGTAGGGGCGGCTGAAAACACTAGCCGCCCCTACAGAGGGCACTGCAGGGGTGGTCAGGAATCCGCCCCTACAGAGGCACCCTCTGTAGGAACACCCTAGGAAGGGCGGCTGGCGCAGCCGCCTCTACAGAGGCTCTAGAGCCGCCCCTACAGTAACATTATGTCTTAGTGAGGTTGTCATAAAAGATGATGACAAAAGCCGAGCAGGATCCCAATATGATACTACTAGACTTCCACCTCCAAGATGGCCTTTTGAGTTTTGGGTCCATCATCTCCTAGATTGCAAAAGCAGGAATAACCAGGCATATGTATGGCCTGTTACAGAGTTTGTCGCGCAATTTTGGTTGCTCTGAGTGAGTGCTTGCTGTCAAAACTGTTACTTCAACATGATTAACATGCCCGGTTTATCTATAATAAAAACTATTCATTCTATTTTATCTGCAGCGATTAGAATGCAACATAGACGTCATATAGGCATACACTACTACGCAAACTTTACTGAAGGCGGACGTTTTCGGTTTTCCGCGGCGGGCAAAGCCGTCCGCCGCGGCCTAGAGACCACGGTAAATCGTGGCTTAACCGCGGCGGGCCTAGAGGCTCACTCCAGATGCACCGCCACTCGCACCAAATCTTTCGCCGTGAAATGTCCAGACTGTGTAGCCCTCGACGAAACCATACATGATCAAATAAGTTTGCACCTCGCTGTCTCGGTGGGCTTTCAGGTTCTTGCAACGAGAACATGGACATATAGTTGTCATCCGCTTCAGTCTCTCACGGTGAGCTTTACCAGCAGCAATAAACTTCCTTAATTCAAAGAGGTACCACGGATCATTCACTCTATCGATCCGGTACATCCATTCTGACCTATCCATCATACCAGCGAACATTATCCGTCACAATCAACATTAAATAAAGAAGAATTAGGAGAAATTGATGATTTTTACGTCCAAAATCATGAAAAAGAGAGGAAATGACGATGTGAGAGATGAAGCATGCATCTATGATGAATCTAAAGTTAAAGAAATACATGACATCATTTTTTCCATTAAAATTGATCTAGATCTAGATCTAGATCTAGAGAGAACTCTAGGTGATGGAAATAGAGAGAGAGGATGGAAGGAGAGAGGGAGAGCCTTTATGAACCTCTTATGATGTCCTCCTCCCTCAAATCCAAGCCCTTCAACTCAAATCAAAAGTTTCCTCAAATTTTAGGGCAAAGCCTCCCCCCATGAGTTTGAGAGAGGAAGACCCGTGGAGAAGACGAAGGGGTGGTGCTGTGTATTTGTACAGGCTTTACCGCGGCGGGCAGTTTAAATAGCCCGCCACGGTAAATCGTATTAACCGCGGCGGGCGATTCATACCGCCCGCCGCGGTAAATAACGATTTCCTGCGGCGGGCAAGTAAGGTGGCCCGCCACGGTAAACCTTTTTTCCGCAGCGGGCGCCTCGGTGACCGGCCTCGCTGGCCGGCCACCGGTTAACTGTGGCGGGCAAAAGAGGTGCCCGCCACGAAGCTCATTTTGGCCACGCTGCGCAAATTGATTCCTGTAGTAGTGATACAATTTTACTAGCTCGAGGCAAAGTTGAAAAACACACCAGGCCATATAGTAATGGATGCTCGCGCGTGCTAGCCTGATTCCCTGCGCCCCGTTTCCCGTGCATGCTCATTTTGCGTGCCCATGTGGGGCCCGCGCCGCCTGGATCTCTGCCGCGTCGTCTGACCACACGTGAGGACCGTCTGCCCGCTCGGCGGCGCCTCGGCTGCTGCAGCTACGTGGCTGGGGCAAGTGGGTTCCATTTAACATGTGTAACGTCCGATCTACTTTTGCAATATTCAGATGAAACACTTGCAACATACATCTGAAATACTTGCAACATACGTCTGAAGCACTTGCAAAACACCAGAAAAACTTGAAAACACATGTGTAGCTGTAGCCATTGCAAACATTACAACATCTAGATAAAACACTTGCAACATATATCTGAAACGGATGAAACATTTAAAACATACACTTGAAAGATACGTTATAGCCATTCCAACATGTGCAACATCCCGATCTACTTTTATAATATCGATATAAAATATTTACAACATACCTCTAAAATATCTTAAACACTTGCAACATACACTTTTAGCGTAATGTCACCTCGCTGCCTGGACGAACTGAGCCTCGTCATTGCGGAGCTCGGCAGCGGTGCATGGAGCTCAGCAGCGGCACGAAGGTCAGCGGCGGCACATGGAGCTCACAACGGCGTGGAGGTCAGCGGCGGCGCATGGAGCTCACGACAGCACGGAGGTCCGCACGCGGACATATCGCCGGCGGATGGAGCGTAGCAGGAGGTGCAACTGGGCGGGGGCTCATGGCGGCGCGGAGGTCAGCAACAGCACATGGAGCTCGTGGCGGCGCGGAGGTCCGACGTGGGCATCTCGCCAGCTGAAGGAGCGCAGCCGCAGCAGGAGGCGCGACTCCGGGCAGGGGGCGGCGCAGACTGGAGCGTGCGGCACGCAGCGCGGGACGGAACCGTTCCGTCCGTCCGGACGCCCTGCAGTGAGCTTTTCCGAATAAATAATGGTTAGAGAAACAAACGTTTCTCCAAAATGATATACAGCTATACGGGTTAACCTTTTTTTTTTTTTTGCTGGTAGCCATTCCATGACGAAGGAAAATATTGTAACAGGAAAACCTACGTTGCATGCTAATCTTCAATTCTTGATACTAGGCCAAAGGGGTTGACAAATTATACTACTCCCTAGTCAGAACGACCTATAATTTACAATGGAGTACAGTACTAAACTAGGTAAATGAACACTATATTCCAAAATCAGTATTGTATGCAAACAATGGGGAGCTGAAATGAATACAGCACTTAGACACAAGTACACAAAAATGCACAAAAAAACAATTGCCTCCCAAACGTGGGCTCATTTTGCAGTGATGCATCATTGACTGCCCAATTTACAAACACGGTCTCGACAGACCAAACTATGAGAATTCATTGTACATCACAATCTATGGATGAAATGAACACTGAGGATCTGTACCAGGCCAGGTTAGCTCCTCAAGCTAGGACACAGGTTCATCTTCTTTCTCACAACTCGGGGGCAAGGCATTCAGTTGTGGTCTCACTGGTTCCAACCATGAGTGTTCTTTTGAGACTGGTGTTTGAAGAGTACAAGTCTGCAACACAAGTTCAACTCATTAAAACATAAACATTTTCATAGGCCAGTGACAAAATGTGACACTGAATACCTGCTCCCCCATGACAAGTTGGCGGCAAAGTCTAGATAGTCCTAGTTTCTACCAAATTTATGTCCTCATCAATAAACAGCATCACAGCTGTCATCACAAGCCTGTTAATTAAATTCATAAAAAATATGAGCAGTTAGATTATGCAACATATTGTTCTTAGCTGGCAGGGAATTACATGCTAGAACAAATTCCGAGATAAAGTAACAGTATATGGAAACAATTAATCTGCCACTACGAAAATCAGAAAGATAGGTATATGTAAGGTCAAGCCTATAATACTGAATATTGCTCATGATTGTTTGTATGCTTGAAAACATGGAGTGAAGACAACATCGTATTTGATTTCCCAAGTCATATTCTCACTAACCCTTCAGTAATCTCTTCAAACCACTAACAGGTGTAAACTTCACAATATTTTCCAATGATAAAGTATGTTAACTTACACAATAATAAAAATACTAATATAAAGACATTTCTGTTCGTTGGAAGGCTAGTATGGGGGTATGGCCAGTTACAAGGGTTTGATAACATCCTAGAGGTTTTTGAATAACTGATATCAGAGTTAGCACTAGCAAATGAATGCATATGGTATTCCAATTCCCCAAAATATTAATTAAGAAATAACCTAAGTCAAACCTGTAAATAGTTATAATAAATAGGCAGAAGTAGAAGGCAAGCTTGATCATCCTGTACTTCTTCTCGCCACTTAATTGTCTAAAAATTTCAGTGACATCTACAAGATGTTTCCGAGCCAAGTACCTGAAAAAAATATGATATGATTTTATTTGATTATCAATAACGAGCATGAAGGGACAAGAAACAAATAAATAGAACTTCAAGTTACAAGTCAAAGTTCTTATATAGGACAGCATTAAACATAAATACAAGCATCTATGTTGCTTCACTTTACAAAAAGCTTATTAACTAATCATAATCATTTAGATATTAAAGCCTGGCAAAATTTAATTTAGAAAAGCATCTCGGATATCCCACCAAAATAAATTCACTAGTTATTGAGATCCAAACTAGTTCAATGCCAGGGGGCATTTATACCTAATCCTCAACAAAGGGGGGAAAAGAACTCTAAATCAACTGAAAACTCAAACAGAGTGCTGAGAAACTATTGTCATGGCTGTTAAATTTCAAGAAGAGGGTGAAGGGAATTTTTTTTTCCACATGTAATAGTAAAAAGTTGGGTGCTTGCTAATATCTGAGGGACTAAAATCAGTTGTTACCCAGAGAAGAGTTCAGCTACATTATAGTTGTATCCTACCAGAACAAACTAAGAATCATTTTCATTAATCATTGTTAAGCCAACAATATTTGGAATCAACAGTTCATGCTGATTACTAAATAATCACAACAAAATTAAGAAACTATTTATCTTGGCAAATAAAGTGCACATAGTGCGATTCAGAGTTGTTGCACTCATATTCTAGAAATAATGAAAGTTAACTAGCTAACAAATTTTGGTAGTGAGGCTTATAAAATCGGGAAGGTATAATACTAGAATAGGTGCACTACCTTCTCCCATTTGGTAATACCCTGAGTCCCTGACTAATATTCTCCCATTTTCAGAGAAGGAATTGGTACAGGGCCAAACAAAAAACACATGGCCCAGAACATGTGGAAAACTACAAATTATCACCCTAGATGCACAACATCGCCATCCCTAAATTCTAAAATGGATATGTTCTTACTTAGCTGTTCCATTGAGCCATTGAGGCTTGTAGATCATTTCAAGTATTATTTCCATGTATATAAAAATAATCAAGATGTGAGTACAGCCAAAAGTATGAACAGCATAGTATCCAATGATGAATAATATGGGTATTCTGTTATAATTAACATCAACTGAAAGTAACACGTACAGTTTCACATGGTAGTATGTCACTGGCGCCATGACTAGAAACGGGAACCAATGCAATGTCAAGAGGAAAGAAGCACACAGGGCCCCTTGGAGTGCGTATTCTATCAGCACCACAGCATTGATGCGAGATGATGAATCATATGGGTTGATATAGTCATACTCCAAATCTGACAGACAGATAAGCTGGCATAAAAGCAGAAAGGCAAAATCAGTTGAACAAATCAACAAGAGTGGATCAACTAACAAGAAGCCTGTAAAATTGGTGCATAAATTACTAAATTTACTTCTAAAGACTACAACTCGTGTAACAATACTAAAAATGAGCTGTGTTGCTGCCAGCTGCCATCATGGTTAGGCTTTATGTCTGATCCAGTGAGGCTGGAGTCACTGATTAATCATGTTGAATTTGAGCTTTAGACAGCATAAAGTGGTGATAACTCAACTGCCACAAATGACAAGCTGGTTTGACACCAAGTAAAGGACTACCGTCATGAGATATATGATTACATCCACCAAGTCCTAGCAGGTGGTACTAACATTCCAAACAGACCAATAGGCAGTAGCAGCATGTGTTTAACAAGACCACCTTATAAGAAAAATTCAAGACCACTACCATATCTTGGCTCATAAACAGAAATTGTTGTATCTAACCCAAGAAAATTGGAATATTCTAAACAAATATATTGGGCCTTTGTATACAAAGACGATTTCTTTTTGCGAATTTATACCAGAATCGAGGAGCTAGCACTAGCAATCGACAGGAAAAAAATTTCTCTGAAAAAAGGAAAAATATTTATCCGGCAGTTTATCTCGTCACCATCCTCCACGGAATGAATGGCACGGGAAGAACACCACCGTTGACTAAACTCCGCATCAAATCCCCACGAAATCACGGCAGCCTTAGGCCGAAAGCCGGCAGAGCTTCGCCGGCCGCGCGCAAGATTTGGACCACACTCGCCGGTCACGGGGTGAACTGTTAAGAGATGCAAAGGGGGGAGCCGTCGGGCTTGCCTGGTACGCGGTGAGGCCGATGAGGACCATGACGGAGGCGAAGGAGAAAAGCCACAGGATGAGCTCCACAGACATGGCTGCCGCAAGGGTTGACGACTCCTCGCGAACAGCTCGGCGAGCAATCGATCTAAGAACGCTGGCGCGCCCGCCCGCTCTGCTTCTCGCGGGCGTTCGGAACGGAAGGGCCCTAGACCTGCCTGGTGACTCCGCGCGCGCCGCGGTCACAATGGCGCTGTGGGCGCCGGAGACGGGAGAGGCGGCGGCGGCGGCGGTGGCGGCGGGTTGGGATGGGGATACCGGTAGGGGAGAGGGGATAGGGTCGTGGTTTGCTACTTGCGTTGCGTGCGACGAGAGTCGGTCAGACGGTTCGCCTACTGCTGCTGACTTCATAGACCTTTTTTTCCGAACAGGAGGTCTGCGAGACTGACAGAAGTGCATCAGAAAAAACAGAGTAAGTACTCTTTATATCTTCAACTCACTTTATAAATCATTATTTTTAAAAGCCATTTATAAAAAACCATTCTATATATCTTTTTCATCCTGTAACAGTTTTTTTTATATCTTATACGTATTCAGAAGAGTTATTCTCGCTCTCTATCTTTAGCTATAGCTATATTTATAGAGATATAATTAAAGAAACTCTTGAGAGTATTTTTTTTACTAAAATCTTATTCATATCAATTAGAAAGAATATAAAGAAGTTGTTGGTGTTGCTCTAAAAGTAAGCGTATATATCGAGAAGTCAATTTTTTTAAAAAAACTTATTAAATATATAAAAGACTATATTTATAATGTGTAAGAAACATTATTACATTGATTGTGAAATGTATTTTTAATAAACTTATTTGTAGATATAACTATTTTCTATATTTTTTGTGAGGAATAACTATTTTCTATATAACTCCTCCAGAAGAAAGATATGGGAGTACAATTTCACAAGAATGAAAAAGTAAAAGGTAGAAGAAAGCTAGATATGGTACCTTTTCTTAATAAAATTCTGCTGGGGGACTTTCCCCATAGTTTCCGGTAAAACAAAAAAAGAATTGCGCAAGATGGTCCAACCATCATTTTGAAATTCTAGGAAAATACTTCTTCTCTGGTAGACGAAGAATCAAAGCAAAGTAAAACGTAGATCAGCCTCGATACATGGTACACCACACAAGCAAATTTGATAACATGACACTAGAGCTATAAAAAGAGAGGGGATGAGTTTCATCTAGATAACCAGATGTACACTCTTTCCAAAACTTGGAAATTGTTCCACACTACTCCTATCATGGAATGTAATGGATTGAAGTTTATCCAAAGTCAAACTATCTTAAATTTGATTAAATTTATAGAGAATAATGTTAATATTTACAACATCCAAGAGAGAAATTATGGAACTACATTTCATCATGTATCTAATTATACTAATCTGGTGTTGTCAATATTACTGTTCTTTTATATAAGTTTGGTTATATTTGTGATAATTTGACTTAGGATAAACTCTGAGCTAGCTCAAGCCTCAACTGCTAGTAAAGAATCAACCACAAGGTTTGCCATAACTTTCTTTGACAACAAGCTTGACTTCTAGAGCGTAAAAACCTAAGGGCTATTTTGGGAGCACAAAACCCCCGGTTCTTGTAGTTTCCCTAGGCCAGGAAAACGTAGGGCGAGCTCCCCCTGGGCCAATCTCTCGTGCCATTTGGAAGCCCATGAAATGGAGAATTGAAGCCATGAGTCAGGCCAGGAGCGCTTCCCCGCCCGTTGTCTCCCAATGCATCGTGGATCGCTTCTCCTCCTCGACTCTACCTCGATTGAGACCGCCCCTTTTGTCGTCGGGCCCACCATGGATCATCCCCTTTTTGTCATCGCCTCTGTTGTGTCTCCTCTGTGTGCCAGCACCTCCGCCTCTGCGTGGTGAGTCCCTAACCTCCTCCTCCACCCTCACTTCCCTGCCTCTGCATGGGTTTCTTCTCTTTGCTCCTTTCACTGACCCTTGTAGATTTCAGGCAGCTGGTCCTAGGCATGCACTCAACGCACTCCTCTACCTCCTCCAAACCACTCCCAGAACCTCCTCTTCGAGGGAGGCCTCCAGCTCTAGGTATGCCCTCGTTGGTGTCATGTTATGGTTCATGGTGTGAACTATTGTAGACTTTTGCAGACTAGCAACTAGTTCATTTATGTGATGCTGGTAGAGATATGTGTTGCGTTTCACTTTCTGGATGGCTGCAGAAACACTTGTATCCAAACACGCATTGGATTGTTATGTATCTGGATGATGTGTGTTTCTTGTTTGCAGTGTGGGCATCCAAATATCGTGTAGTGGAGAGTATGTGTATTTTTTAGTGTTGTATTATGGATATTCTATGAATTAAACATGTGCAACATTGATAAATTACCATAAAGAAACTAATGTTTTGATTATCCTCTGCAACTGGTTCTTTTGGTATTTCTATTGTCCATATGAGGTCCATGGATATGGAAGCCTATCGCTAAAAGACATGTGTAGTGTGGAGCAGGTCTAGTCTTTTTATACTTTCTAAAATTTGATCCGGGACTGGAAGCAATATTAAAGTTGCAAAAGATTGTTTTATTTTTGTTGTCAATAATTTTTTTTGGAAAGTTTGCACTATTTGCTTTATCTCGCGCTGATAGAACCCAATTTGGACCCATAAACTCAAAGCTGGATTATATTTAAAAGAATGGAGAAAGGGGGAACTCAAGATTCTTAACCATATATGTGGTGGCTTTCGAGATAACATCACTTCTTAGTTCTTTCATTCATTAGTTTTTCATTACAAGATATTTATAATCCTTGAACTAGAGTTGCCATATGATAATATTTTCCATAGCATAGTAATAATATATCATCCACAGAAGATATGTAGCATCTATGGGATCCACAACTATCTAGGACTTTGGTCATGATTCTATGATTATGCTGATTTGCTCTTCATAGGGTCACGTTCTTTGGGATGAGGCAGGAATATTATGGCGGCAGCAATGGAGAAGATCAAGTGAGAAGTCCGTGCGCGATGGACCGGGAGCGGTGAAGGGCAGGCGAGTAGGCTTGGACTGAAGGACCAAGAGGCCGAGGATAAACCAAGGTTGGCTGGCATTAGGCACATGAAGAGCAAGAGCACATGGGTGATGGAGACGGCGTCGACCAAGTCAAGGAGGAGGACGATGGCATCATGGCACTTGGTGGAGGCTAGACATGCACCTACATGTGTGGAGCTAAAGATGACGTTAGTCAAGTCAAGAAGGAACGCAAATCAACCTTGGTGGGGGTCGAACACGTGTCGACATCGATGAGTCGCTCACGCCTAACAAGGCGTGCATGAGGGTTTACCGGTTTGTTCATCAAAACTAGGGATAGACGGCTTGGTGGATTGAGCGTCAAAACCATTGGATGAGGGTTTAGTGGCTTGAGCCTCAAAACCATGCGTGGAAGGTTTGGTGGTTTCAACCTCAAAACCATCGACAACAGATTTGCTTGATTTGGGCCTCAAAACCGAGGAGTGGCGGATCGGCGGACACCTAAAGTCGAGGAGGCGCCGGGTCCATTGGATCGATGTAGAAAACTTGGACAATTTTACCCTATCGGATAGGTCAAGTGCTTCATGTAAGAGCATTTTGGTATTTTTCGAGACACCTATAATAGAGTCGTGGCTGGTTGACAACTTAAGCCTTTTGGAGTGTGTCTATCTTATTTCTGTAGTGGTGAGAGAAGGATAGGGTTAGAGAAAGGAGAGGTGATGCTCTTTGGTTTGAGCCTTTTGCCACTCAAGCTTTGGAGATTGCCAGAAGTGTCTTGTAATCATACATCTTGAGCTGTTCCAAGGATCTAATTCGTGCTCCACCTGTTTGCCTCGTCAAATCTGATGTTTTTTTTTCTTCTGAATTTTCGTTCGTCGGATTTGTCTGCATTTTGGGGGGCAGATTACTTGAGGGATTTTGGGTACTAGAACATGTGTGATCAAGGCTAGGGTCATGGTGATCTCCTAACAAATTATTTACTTGAGCACCACAAATTTGAAGTTTTCTCAAATTTGTTCTTCACCTAGGTTTTCCTGGATCTAGTGCAATTCATGTTAAAGGTTCCATCTTTTTGAATGTTTTTGGATGGAACGGATCACTCATGATGTGGTGAACGGTATGATTCGAATTTGGTGTCAATCAAATTTGTTTTGGTTGGTTTGTCAATTAGCCTTCAATATGCTGTTTTTGCTTCGTGGTTCGGACCTGTGTTTGTTCCGGTGTTTGGAATGAGGGCAAACTCTCTACCGTGCTGTTTGGTACAGATCAGCATCTGCACCTTGAGCTCCTCTTGATTTCTTGGTTGTGCTGGGTCTCACTCTTTTGCAGCACCAGGGGGCAGCAGGTATTCTCGATTTTTCTATCAGCAGCTCTGTAGTTTGTTCGCAGGCTTTTGTTCTGAATTTGTTCATACGCTGCAGGCCAGCCCATCGGCAGTGAACGCGATTGTTCTGGGCAGTAAAAGCTAACGTCCAGAAGTGCATAGCTCGGCCTCCATTTAGGCAGCAGCTGCAGTTTTCATCGTTTCACGCACGGGACGACTGCTGCCCGGACGTCTAGCCCGAGGCCTATGTCCAGACACCTGCGTTGCAGTTTTACACGATCGCACTAGCAATCCACGCCCGTGTTCGCAAAAAAAAAAAAATAGCACGCCTCCGCCTGCGCCAGGTTTCACGTGCCCGGCTCGCGCAGCCATACCGTGCGCGGGGACCGCTCGCGTCCCCTCCGCTTCTCACACGTATTGCAACATGTGCAATATTTGATTTACTTTTAAAACATTCAGATACAACGTTTGTAACATACGTCTGAAGACAAATAAAACACTTGAAACATGCTTTTGTAACACTTGCAAAAATACATGAAAACAACTTGAAAATCATTACATACATACGCAAATATCCAAATAAAATACTTGCAGCATATGTGTAAAACGTATGTAACATCCAAATAAATACACTTGCAACAATACGTCCAAAAACACAGATGAAACATTAGGAACAGATCTTTGCAACATACGTGTACAACCAATACAATATATGCAACATTTGATCTACTTTTCCAACATTTATCTGAAAATAATTACAACATACCTCTAAAACATCCGAAACACTTGAAACATATGCTTGCAACGTGCGTTTTCAACACATTGTAACATCTCCTTGCTGCTTGCGAGATGGAGGCTCGTCGGCCTGTGGAGTTCACCGGAGGCTACCGCGCCGTCGCCACCATCGACCAGATGGAATTCGCCTACTACGAGGCCAGCGGGGACCCCTTCGTGGCCGCTGGTTTCATGGGCTCAACAAGCAGCCCCCGCAGCCCCTACAGCCGGCATCGCAGTCCCCACCACCATCGGATCTCTCGCTGCGCAATGGATCCAGTGGAAAGGAGTAGCGAGCCAGAGTGGGGCGGAAGCGCGTGGCGTGCGATGCGGGCAAGCGGCCACCCCGCGCGAGGGGCTGCGCGCGCATGGCTGGGGCACCGCTGGGCCAGCCATGCTCAGCACGTGGAGGTGGCCGTGCTTTGGGCCGCGTCGGGAGAGAGGGAGAGAGAGGAAGGGGAGGCCGGGGCGGAACGTAGACGGTGCGAAAACCAACGGCGTCGACCGGCGGGGGTGGGAGCGGCGGTGTCGCCTGCAGCGGCCGTGGGTCCAGAACGGAGTGCACGTCGATGGTTTTTTTTCCTTTTTTTATGATGCGAGCGAGCAGCGCAAGCCGTGCCACGTAGCAGTGGATAAGAAAGCCTGGTGGGCATCGCTGCCCACCACGGGGGCCATCCGGACGGACGGATGGACGTCCTGGACAGAGCTTTACCGTTTCATGCATGTTCGTCAGCAGATCATCTCAGTGGACATCACTAGCAGAGTAGCAGGACAACTGCAGCATATGATTAGGAACTCTAATTAACCATTCTAGTGCTTGGTTCATGCATGCTTGGAAATAGATACTTGTTTAATCCCTTTTAGCTTACTCTCTCTGTCCTTATTTATTTGTTTTGGCCTTCTACTATGGCTCTGTTTGGATCAGTTTTGGATTCTTAAAAATCGTTTTTTTCCTCTAGTTTCTAAAATCTGCATTCTGACAAAAAAAACTGGTATAGGTGTTTGGACCCCGTTTTTAAGAATCCGACTTCATTTATTACTCTATGGGTCATAAGAAAATGACAAAATCTGGATATCAACATCTTTCTTGTTTTTAAGAATCTGGCAGAAAAACTGGCCGGTTTGATTCCACCCAATTTCTAAAAACAAGATTTAAAAAAATGGTAAAACTAAAAGGATCCAAACACGATACATAAAAGATTCTTTAAGTTTGGACACACACGATGTCTAGGTAGGAGATGATGCTTTGAATCTAGACACCCCGAAGCATCTAGCCATAGCTGCATGTAAGGCTATCTCCAACAGAGCTGATCCAAATTTCACCGTTTGGGTCACGTACAGGAAATAAGTGAGCTATCCAAATTCTTCCGTTTCCAACAGCGAAGGCAAAATATCTTCGGTACTCTCTTCCTCTCTCTCCCACGCGGCTGCCTTTCTCTCTTCCTCTCTCTCCCACGCGACCGTGCAGGGCATGGCGACGGCGACGACGTGGGGCCACGGCGCGCGCTGGTGCTGGCGCGGCGCCCGCCGCGGACGCGGCCTGCCTTCTTCCCTCCCTCTCCCGGTCGGATCCGGTCCCCCTCCCTCCCCTTCTTCTTCCCCGACTCTCCCTCTCCCAGATCCGGCCAGTGGCGCCCGCGCCGGCGGAGCTCGCGCTCGAGCTCTTGTGTCGTCTTGCGGCAGAGATTTGCGTCGTCTGCTGCCGAAGACGCTTATTTGCCTTTCCCTTCGGTTGGTACGCAAAATCGGTCGGCTGTTTGGGTCTTCTGTTGGACAGCATTTTTGGCGACCCAAACCACTGTTGAAGACGTATTTTGCGTTTGCGTTTCGTTATCGGAGACAGTCTAAATGGAGACACAGGGAACATGTCACTGGGGATTGTATGGCTGTCGGATGCGAGTAGCTGTTGGACTTCCATGTGTTCGTACAGGTGAGCAATAAAAAAAAATACAGGAGCCTTGAGCTTTCAATTTTGAGACTTTTTCCTGTGCGCCATTATAAAAGATCGTAATCCCCTGTGTGCCTCTGAAAAAATTCAGCGGTCTTCAGCGCCACTACTCCAACTTTTTCGTGTCATCCATGCCACTTCCGTCAGTTTGGGCTCTAAGTTAGATCTCGTCGAGATTTAAGCTGCAGGTGTGATTTAAAAAAAAAATAATATGATTTTTCAAATATATTAATTAATTTTTTGAGCATTTTTATAACTTAAATGAAAAAAACTCAATATAGAAAATTATAGATCTAATCGAGATCTATAATTTTCAGTTATGAGTTTTTTTTTCATTTAATTTGCTCAAAAAAAAAATAATATGATATTTGAACTAAAGATATATTAATCATATTTTCATATTTTTTTGCGAAATTAAATAAAAAAAGAGCCCAAAATCGACGGAAGTCATGGATGACACGAAAAGTTTGAAGTAGTATTAATCGTTGAAGACCTCAAAAAATTTTTTCATATTTGACAAACATGTGGATTACGATCTTTTTAATTGGCAATGGCACAAAGTGAAAAGTCTCTTCAATTTTCGGTTCAAAAATCTCTTCAATTCAGTTCAGCAGCACTGTAACATCAGCAGCGTGAGCTTAGCGTGAGAAGATCGAAGTCACGTGCTACAGTAGGTATTCTTCGATAAATCATTTTGTAATAGGCCAGCAGGTATTCTTTGATAAACCATTTTGTAAGCTTTGAACCGCAGTAGCTTTCTTTATCTACCATCTACCATTTCTACCATTATCCTTGTTCTCGTACACCAGTTCTACTCTCAGCAGGCCACGTCGACCTCTACTGTAGCGAGCATTGCCCATTATTGTGTTCTTCTGTCTTCTGTTCACTGTTTAGTTATTCTTCACCTCCACTGGTAGTGTACATTGCTGGTTTTCTTTTTTATGATCTATTAGTTAACAGATCATTTGTTTCCGCGCCAAATAACAACAGCAGCTAGAAGTTTCCAGCTAGTGGGCAATTATTCTCTTTAGCTCTTGGTTTAATATTTCGCATGCTGCTTGGAGCTGTTGTTAGCAAGCTAATTACCAAGTAATTTAACTCGTGTATGTGTTGTCGCTTCACTTTCGCACCGCTTTGTGAAATTTCTCATTATTCCTATGGTCTGACATATCACTAGTTGCCATGTGCGGCATTGGCAATAAGAAGAGAGACACGTTGGGTTACAATCTGCATTTAGACCAAAATTTTCTCGATGAAAAATTTTTAGTGCCTCCCACTCACTCTCCTCTGGTCCTCCAATGATCCGAACTCATAACCCGTATTCTATGGGCTAGAACGATCCACATCTAGTAATAGCATAGAATGATTCTAAGATATATTGAGTCCTATCATAGCGCACGAGCAAATTTGCTAGTAACTAAAAAAACGACTTTTAAATTGAAGGGAAGAGTTGTATTTATTTCGCCCATCTAAACTTCTCTCTTTCGCTGTACCAATAAAGTGCCCCTAGAGTACAAAGGTGGCAACAAAGTACTGGGTTAGCATCACTGATTCCCAATCAATCGTCCTCTCGCCGAACCATGGAGAAGAGCCGGGTCCTGGTGGTGGGCGGCACCGGGTACATCGGCCGGCGGATCGTGCGGGCGAGCCTGGCGCAGGGTCACCCGCGCTGGTCCTGATGCGGCCGGAGATCGGCCTGGACATCGACAAGCTCCAGATGCTGCTCTCCTTCAAGGCCCAGGGCGCGCGCCTGGTGGAGGCGACGCTGGAGGACCACGCGGCTCTCGTCGCCGCCGTGGCGCAGGGCGACGTGGTGATCTCGGCCATGTCCGGGGTGCACTTCCGCAGCCACAACCTCTCACTGCAGCATAAGCTCGTCGAGGCTATCAAGGAGGCTGGGAACATCAAGGTGCGTCACTTCACAAACTGTTGTACCCAGAGGTTCAGTATACCCGGATGGACGAGTACGTGAAGAGATATTTGTAACTGCTAAAGTAAACTTATTGTTGGCTTCTCCTGAATGAACCAGTTGTTGTTGTATGTGACCTTTGTAGGTTATCATTGATATGTTGTATCACTCTGTCTGGATTCTTCATCATATAATCGACAGGCTGCCTGATTTCTTCAAAAAAATATTGGCTTATCTTATCATATTAGAATCCATCAACACTGTGTGCCAGAAATACTAGAAGAATGCCTCACACGTTGCCGCGGGAATCGCAGGTGAAAATATAATACTTATATTTACTTATATGAGCGAATAAATATCATAATACATGTTAATAGATGATTTTTAGCATTTTGATGCGGAGAACTAAATATATGTCAGTAAATGACGTGGTTTGCTCATGTGAATAGCTCGAATGAAGAGATAATGTCATGTGCTAGTTGGATGTGCTAGTTGATGTATGCTGTGGGGGTATTAACCCCTATACCCTTACGGCTAGACTTGGGCCGGCCCGGACCAGGGGGTCTGCCCACTAGAAGACGACGCGCGGCCCGGCCAATCTGTTCGGAGTCCCGCGCAAGGAATCAAGGCAGATTTGAAGATCAAGCAAGATCCTGATCAGTTAGAATATGAATTCTTATTCGGCCACCTATGGCAATTGTAACTGGTTAGGATTAGTTTCCATATCTGTAACTCTGCTCCCCAGACTATATAAGGCGGACAGGAGACCCATCTAAAAAGACATCTCTCATTGACATACAGTAATACAATCAGACGCAGGACGTAGGTATTACACCATCCCGGCGGCCGAACCTGGATAAAACCTCGTGTCTGTTTTACGTCACCATCTTGTTTGTAGCTTGCGCATCTGTCTGCCGATAATCTACTACCTTGGGCATACCCCTAGATAGACTGCCAACCATATTTTGTCGATAGTGGCACGCCAGGTAGGAGGTGTGCGTACTGCTTTCCAGACGAACAAGATGGTCATCATCCCCGGTTCCATGGCTACGTCGAACGGCCTCACGTTCACCATCGGCCATATCACCTGGACCACCGGCTCCGACGACTTCATCGCCATGACCACGGAGGAGGCGTGGATTCAATCTTGTTCGTCTGTGCTAGTGGCATGTGCTAGTGGATGCTGATGTAGACACTGGCGAGATAGATTACTAATTGATGTGGACAATTTGAATGATTAAATAGTTGTATGTGCTAATGGCATGTGCTAGTGGATGCTGATGTAGACACTGGCGAGATAGATTACTAGTGGGATTTAAAAATATAATATATACAGATACATATATAGATTTGATCTTTCTAATGACACGGGATCCTAATGGTTCATCAACTCTACACTTGGAAAATGTTTGGTCTTTGTATTGTCTCATAGTCTAAATGGCTTACATCCACTATACATGCTGAGGACTAACCCACATATAATTTTGTCACCGCTTCATGTAAAGGACTAAGCTAGGGTTAGTGTTAAGAAATCTAGAAACTTCATTTATTGATCTTATCCACCTTAATAACGAAGGTGGCAAAACCCAGTGAAGAGACCATGACGCCTAATGGGGAGTGACGAGATCCTAACATATGTGTATGTTAAGCCTCGGGATCAAAGGTTCCGGACCAAGAGACCCCGCGACCGACCCTTCCAGGATCCCCCGGGGGCTATACCCATCAGGTACGCTCGTGCGCAACCCTCAGGCCAAAGAGACCGGCCGAGCTCGAGCGCAACCACCGCCATCGCTCGGGGCTCGAGGGCTCGACCCAGCCTCAGGCTCCCAATTGACAGGAGCTTGGACCCGGTCCTTGGCCTCCTCCCGGCCTTAGGCGTTGGCCAAGGCTCGGGTGCAAGATGACACGCCATGAGTCGCCAAGGCTGCTCCCCCGACAGGGTCACGCACGGGGTGTGACACAAAAAGACAAGTTCCTCTGTGGCCTCTAGGGGCTCGGGAGTTCCCAAGCCTGCACGTCAGCCCCTCGAGCCGATCTCCTTCGCCACCAAGACGTCTCTAGAAGATGCACCTGGGGGAGACCAGTCCAAGCCGGCATAGCCTGACACTTAGCGTGTCAGAACAGAGTAGCCGGATGACACCCTGGGTTTCTTTGGCTCCATGACATCGCCATGGTCCACAGAACGCCGCTGTAAGACCCTCCTGGACTCCAGCGCATGTAGACCATAGGCTTAGCCCCCCACATTGCCATGTACTCGACCTATCTCGGTATATAAGGGATAGGTCGGATCCTAAGTGGAGAGAAGATGATCCGATTTTGATCATTCGCATCCTCATCGTTCCGCTCGAGCTCTACACCGAGAGCAGAGCAACCCAGAGAGGGGCACCGAAAGCTCCTCCTCCTATCCGTCATCTTCTTCCTCTCTGATGAGGGGGAAGGCTCCACTGGCGGCGAGGCAACTTGAGGATTAGCACCGAGCTATCCCCCTACCAAATCTCTTTCCTTCTCCGGTACACTCTATTGTAACCCCCCGATTTTGGGTGCTCTTGAGTAGAAGGATCATCAGATGCTTGACGTAGGGCACCGATTGGCCCAAACCAGGATAAACCGTTGTGTCCTCTCTGTGATTCTTATATTCTTGAGTCCACCTGAGCCACTAGAGACACGTACTTGACACCACCTCGAACAACAATGCTTGTCACGGTTCTGACCGCGACAACTGGCGCGCTAGGTAGGGGGCTGCGTCAAGTATGATTCAGGCTCTACGGTGGTCGGAGCCACCCTCCTCATCGTCGGAGCGAGCGGCGCTGCCCCAGACGGAGGCGTCCACTTCCCCGGCAAATTCTCCATCACGGCCGGTGCCTTTGCTCCAGGCTAGGTCCTCAACTTTTGGAGCCTGGCCTACGTCGCCGAATGCTACTGCGAGCTTCCCATGCTCAATGAGGTCCCGTCGGTGGGCAATGAGCCCCTGGCCCTGCCTGCTCCGTCGGGCCTCCTAGGAGCAGATCTTGAGGTCCTAGCCCAGCAGATCCAACGCGGTCTGGGTCCATACCCTGTCATGTCAGACCACCGCCATATGTTCTACATGCTGGCCAACGTCCATCACCAGATCGCCACCGGCGAGGTGCTCCCACCGCCTGACCGCTTCTGGTACTACCTCCTGGTCCTGCCTTTTGGGATCCAGAATGCGGCGGCATCCTTCCAGCTGGAGCTGGAGCTGGAGCACCTCGTCAGCCGTAAGGTGCCACGGAGCGCCATCCTCTCTGGCATGGCGGGGACCGACGTCCCCACGCTATGCACCTTCCTCGAGGTCCTCTTGGGGGAATGACCCGGAGTATGACTCTGACGAAATCGATTGCTACGCCCCACCTCGCATGTGCTACCACATCGACGGCGAGGACCCCGTCGAGGAGGCACCCGAACTCATGCCACTGGACTAGAGTCCCCGTAGCTGCACGAACTACCTTCGGGAGAAGGTAGCTCACCTAGAGGCTCGGTAGGCCGACCTGGAGGCCACCGAGGCAGAGCTCGAGGTCCAAAGGCAGGAGCTTGCGTGGCAGCAAGCCACGTAGCCCCCTGTCAACGACGATGATGCCCGCACGGGGGCTCCTAACTCCCTGCGCTTCCCCCGTGTGGCCTACAACATGGCGGCCGCCGCCTGCCGGTTGGAGGACATCTCTGACACACTAGACCCAAAGACCAATGAGTGGCTGCACGAGGCAAGGTGACTACTTCGCGTCGCCCTCGAACAGCAAGCCAAGAGTTTGGCCTCCCGGCCCGTGCCGTGCCCTCTTGGCCATCCCTGCAGACGGTCACCATCAACCGGGACCGCTTCGACGTGCATGCCCCGCCAATGGGAGGGAACAACTGTGACTCCTCTGGCAACAACTTCGACCGCCCATGGACCAGGGGCGCCAATCCCCGGCAGGAGCGAAGGCATGAGCTTTCCCCTCGCCGCCCGCCCATGGGCAGTCGGATCGGCGACGACCGTGATGTGCGTGACACCATCGAGGCCCGGTGCCACGCTCAAGCCTAGCCTCACACACCGGAGCATCGGGACGGGGACTTCGCCTAGGATCACTTTGCCCCCCTAGCGTTTGGGGCCAGGATCCGAGCGGCCCCTTACCCTAGGTCATTTTGGCTGCCGACACACATCCCCAAGTACGACAGCGAGACCAACCTGGACCACTGGCTTGAGGACTACCGCCTCTCCATGAGGGCTAGGGGGTTGGATGATGACTTCACCGTCCAGTACGTGTTGGCATTTCTTAGCACAATCACCAAGTATGGACATGGAATCCATTCGGGGCAATGACACTAGAAATTCCCATTGGTATTTCTTAGCACCATCACTAATATTTGGATGAATCTTAGCAATGCCGCCAAGAAATACCAACACAATAGTTCTTAATGATTACATAAACAATATACGCAAGCACACGGATCTATCGTTGTTGCATTTCACCCGGAAGTATTCAGGGTATCGTTATTTATATTTTCCCAAAGGAAGGCATGGTGTAAAGAGTCTAGCATGGATATGAACAAGATTACATGCTTGCATAGTGAACCAAAGTTTATACTAGGGGTAGAAGTGGTATTTTGAGGGTAGTGGACACACATTTGGGCCAACCTCAATGATAAAAGAGAAACAAAGAATAAAAGAATATTCCTAAGTGGAGCAGGCTTGTTCTAATATAGCCATGCAAAGAACAGTTGATGATCATACAAATTACATGGTTAGAGCTAGACCTAAGTGTAAGATGGACGGGGAGATCTCTGGGCACTGGTCTACCACAAGCCAGGGAGACTTTATGAACTCCTACAAGAATACCCGAACGTGGGGGATTACAAGGGATGGACAGGGCTATCACCGCCTGCCGCCTACCCCTCAACCTTGGAGCACCGTCATATCCGAAGTCTTCTGTGCACTCGGGCACCACGCCCGTATACAAAGAAACTACCCATATCCCCCCAGGACTCCGACCCTACGGATCGATAAGCATAGGACATGGGCAAACCTGAAGGAACGACGAACCACCACCTCAACTAAGCTCTACTTCTAATCATACAAGTTATATGAATGATTAAGCATATTGTTTTACATGTTAAGCTCATAACATAGAAATTATATGCTAGTTCATATGTCAAGATTATAACATGAAAACTATACTCTAGTTCAATAGCACAACTATATTGATAAAATGAGAGCAAGACTTTGGAACAATTCCTCATAGTATTCATACCAAGATTTCTCTCTTCTTCTAAGGAGCCAAGCTCTCC